TACTTTTACTTGAGTAAAGAAGTTTAATCAGTACTTCCACTTTTACCAAAGTATTTTTTAACACAAGTATCTGTACTTTTACTCAAGTACGGAAAGTGAGTACTTTTGCCATCTCTGTTGAAGACCCTGGAACTACTTCCTGACACCGGCCTGGATTTCCCTGTTCAGATATCTGATCTTCTGGCCCGTACTCCTGTGAACCTCTTCAACACCAGCTCTGGCTTCGATTTTCCTGCCTTCCTATGTTTGCTTGGATCTGATCTCCTGCCAGTTCTTCAGTCTTCAATGCTTCAGCTTCGAACTCTCTGGGCAGCGTTCGCCGCTTCGGGTTGGCAGCCATTCGGCTGGAATCAACCTTTTCCTCTGGGCACGGACTGAACTTTAAGACCAGGTTAGTGACTCACACGTTGGTAATCATCTTCCGCTAGATTAACGTGGTTAATCCTGCCTAGCTACCCACTGCCAATTCCTTGTTTTTAAATAAATGCTTTTTGAGAAATCTGTCTGTCTGCCTTACATACTGGGTCCTTTGTTCTGAGCCTTGACAACTGTATGACTTAGGTGTGTTGCAGCAGAAAAAAATACCAGAAACATGTAGGACAGGGGGTTCTAAGGACCAGGAAAGAAGAAGGTTCAGAACAATCAATTTTTATTTGTTAGAATGGACAAGGCAAGGTCCAGCCTGGATGCAACTGCAAATCTGTGGCAAGACTTTTTGTACAAAGACAATCTCAATGTAACCTGTATTAGCTGAAGCTATTTTGTGGCATCATACCTTAAAATATATTCAGTTGCAATTTCAGAAATTCAAGAACAAGTATTGTCCGGGGGTGGGGGTGGGGGGGGGCATTGATCGGAAAAGCACACCCCACTTTTCAGATATTTTTTTTTGTTGTTGAAAGGGATTAAAAAATGTCTCAACTCTTCCCTAGTTCAAAATTATGAATAACTTAATGATGGCGGCATAAGATGTAAAAATGTCATTAAGGTTTGGGTTTTTTAGCCTTAATATGGGGTGCATTCAAAGGATAAGAATATTTCCAATAAGAGGCTATTGTAAAGAAGTCATTAAGCACTACTCTGATAGAAGCAGCTGCTTCACCCCATCGCTCACATTGAATTTGTCCTTATTTTATGTACACATCTCTCACACACCAAAGTCGAAGATGTAAAGGTGCCAAGGGACCATTTCCCATACAAAAGCATCAGTGTTTGCTTGTGTGTGAACTCAGAGCTGTTTCATAAGAAATCTAAAAAAATAAATACAATAAAAAAACATAGAAAACACAACGCTCCACCATCACACATATCATGCCACCAATATAAATCCCCCACTATGATACCTGAACAACAGGGGTCAGCTACATCACTGTTAATGAGCAGAAAT